AATAACTAGTGAAATTGATAGTGTTATTACATTTAGAATTAACCGCAATTGAAGAGACAATAGAAAAACAACTCTAATGAAAATTATTGATTTTTATTATAACATCACTATTTGAAGTCAAGTCCCATTTCATACTATTGTATTTTCTTAGATACTTTTCGTTATGCTTATCTAATCTTGCAAATTTTGGTTTGATGTCTACATTTTAAAATAGATTTTCATTAATTAACGATTTAATGATATCGGTAATGAAGAATTAAATCAATGTCCACATTTCATTAATATTCTAATTTGGGATGTACCGAACACAATTGACTATTTTATCTATGTACTTATATTTCATTGACTAGTTATTGTATCAATCATGGTTAAAAAACATCATTAACAAACAAAAACTGTTTTGATGTCAAATATTTATCGAATTTCGTGTGACCACTCCATTTTCGGATAATCCAATATCGGAAATAGAAATCATCATTATTTTCAACAATCGCTGGCGACGCGACATCTCCAGTGTAAAATAAATCATGTTGTAATCAAATTGAATCCTAAGAATTCATCGTGGATTTCATTGAATTTAGACTTATTTGAGTAAAATCTCTGACAAAAATCTGACAAAATTCAAAATTGTCAGAGATTTTACTAAAAATTAATAACCCAAACATAATTTTTATTATAGAATAGGTGATATTTTATTGTGTTTAATAAACACAACTCCCGGCGAAAAAGTTAAAATTGTGTGTGGCTCCTCTGTTATGGGATTTTTATTTCAAAAACCTTTTTATACTATTAAATATTATAAAACGACAAAAAAGCTTAATTTTGAGTACTGTATAGAGATGAATTTTATTTTTTAAAAAATTGTAAATGTTGATAACGAGTAAAATTTTCATTAAGTCCGACACTACTCGCGATATGATATATGACCCTCTCTAACTCCCCACCTCTTGACCTTTACCACCAAAATTTAATAGCATTAATTCCCCTAATATACAAACCTCCCTGCAAAATTTCAAAAATATTTCACAAAGGTACAGGAGTTATTAATCTTCAAAGTAAGTGAACAAAATCGTCCCCTCAGCATACATATACACTAACGTCCATTCATACAGAAAAAAATCCCCAAATGTTTTTTGCATTTCTCGAGGTATCAAGGTCACCTGAGTCCAAATCATCTAATGTAAAAATCTTAGGAGTCGTTTTTGACCTATCGTGTCTTGAACTTTATACCCTCTATTATATATATCAGCCGGGAAAGTAAGATTTAAAAAAGTATTTTCTACTTTTTGCGGCCTATCCAATTAGTCTATTTGAAAAAACCTGAAAAAGTTAAATGTTTAAAATATAAAGTTCTGTTAGTAACGGATCCAAAAGAACCCAAAGGAAGACTAACCAAAAAATTAAATATATTTGAATAATTAATAAGGACCTTTTATTAACATATACAGGATGCAAATGTTTCGATAAATCATATTTGCAATCAGAGATGTTTTTATAAACAATGTTTTGAAGTTCGAACAAGTAAATTTCTACTTTTTTTGTGTCACTGGGGATGGCTACAGAGTGTTTCAACCTCTGTAGTCATCCTTTTGGATCTATCTCTGATTTCTATTATATTTTAAAACCTTAAATTATTTTTTATTCGTTAACGTTTCGATGCATTTTGCATTTTTATTTAACGAAAATTGATTGATATTCATCTAATAAAGCTGTCTACTTATGATTCAATATTCGGGAGTGTATCTATAAATCGATTTTAAAGTAAAATATAAAAGATATTACCAATCTACATATCATGTAAAATTATATTTTATTTTTTAAAATCTTTTATAAAATTTCGTTATAACGAATTTCCTCCATATTTTATCCGAATTGATATAATTATTTTTTCTTTTTAAATTAAATAAAAATTCTTCTATTGTAAAAATACATTACTAACATTTTCAACACTTTTCTTATAGTAAAACTGAAAATGTGATTTTATATCAATGGACGAACATGATTTTCATTTTAATTTTCTTAGTAATGTCATCAGATCAACTAATGTGGTATTGAATACAGCTTTTAATGCAACAGATGTAAGCACGAGAAGTCCGATTTGCATAGAATTTTTCTTAATTAAGTTATATTTTTTGAAATTCTTTTAATAAAAATAAAAATTAAAATATCACATTCTTTCTGGATGGAGTATGAGCCAATGCTAATTATTCAACATAAGCAAAGGAAAATAGTTTCGAGTTCATTATGAAGTAGAACAATATAGCCTAAATAAAACATATTAGAAAATGATGTGTTTAAACTGTTATAATTTATTTGAAATTTCCGACATTTTTGCAATAAATTTCAAATTATAAAAAAGCAAAAAAGTATATGATGTCGTGTGACCTTTATTTATTTATTTATCTAAGCTCATGTAGACTAATGAACATCGGCTCCATTCTTATTCTGGAAAAGACAGCAATTTCTCAAATTGAAAATGTATACAAATAAAATTTTAAAATTAAAAAGGATAATGTTCCGTAAACCAACATATATAAACCAAGTGCATTTATTAAATTAAAATGGAGTTCCAGACATTCCACTTGGCTTATAGAATATTGCCATTTTTAATTTTAATAATAATTTATCAAATCTCTTTATATATACATATAAATTGATTAAATATATTTCAACCTATTATTCGCGACCTGAAATTCAGCACTGTAGGGGAAAATTAGAAATTTTGCAAGAATCTCGTCTAAGTGACTTTTTAAAATTAAATATTATATACGTGACTTTTTAGTATGTAAGTTCCTTAACTTTAACATCTTCCAATACATCTTCAGGAGCTCTGATATGATATGCAAATTCCTAAAGAAGTTGCCCACTCAGTAAGAATGATGCTGCTTTGAATGAATAAATATTTTACTCTTTTAACCGTTTTAACTTTAGGCATGCATGCTTTTAACAGTTAAAATTTCTTATACTTTTTTAAAATGTTTCCCTTCTCTTCTATATAGATATTAACTATATGATATACCAATGTACAGCTTAAAAGGTACAAACTTACGTCTAAAGTTCTTCACGCGTATAACGATCTGGCAGTTTTGCTAACGTACTTACCAACTTTATAAGCGTACAGAATATATGTAAATTTTTTCAGGTAAGTTTTTGTTAATATTAGTTATTTCTAACACGTTACGCTTATAAAAATCCCAAAATTCTTTCATAAAGTCTACTGAACTTTAAAACTATTTTACTCCATTGAGTTAACATCATTTAAACGATCCCCAAAATTATTAATACGAAATATATTAACTACATACCGAAGCGGTTTAAATATATTAATATCAACCAAAACCAAAAAAAAAAAAAATTATTTGCTTAATTTTACTTTAGGAATTTCGCTTTTTAAAGCATTTTCTTTTACAATTTAAAAATTTTCAGTTATATAGTTGAATTAATTTTTGGAATTTTTGAAAGTAGAAAATTAAAATAATATGTCTGAAAGAAAAAAAAATTGTATAAAATAATAATAAGAAGGAAGAAAAATTGTAGCTAATGTAGTCTTTTATGTTTTATATTCTTGATTCTTTCATTCAGAAGAAAATGCGATTTTCTGAAGAAAAACATTTTTCGAAAAATTGTTAAATTTCCACTGGAGTTACTGTATTATTTTCCTGGTGATTTTTTCTCTTCTCTTTCTTTCGACTTACTTTCTCGGTAAAGAATTCGATAGGATATAAATTTGCCCAATCGATTACCGAATAAGATAAATTCCCGGATAAAAAATAAAAAATATTCGGAATTTTTGATTATCTTAGCATATATCTAATAATATTATCCGGGATGAAGAAAGCGATAAAAGAAAAAAATATTTCCAAAGTAATCTGGAGTTTGATTCGTTATCTGATTTCAATGCGAGATAATCTGAATTTTAACTTGAATATCTACACAAAAATAAAAAAAGACTTTAGATAATATCTAAATCCAGACAAATGGGACTTTGTAGTTTTATTTTATCTTATTTATTGTATTTTTTACACGAAAGAATTGTATTAAAGCTTTTATAAAAACAAGATTTTTAAGCAAGATTAATAAATCAAATAATCAGATTTGTTGCTGATTTTTCAATTTTTTAAAGAAATTTATTCGGAGAGGCATTCATTTTTCAAATTTATTACATTCATTTTTAATTATGTAACTCAGTTATGTTAAGATTAATCTTAAAAAGTGATATATCTGAAAAACTTGACTAAATACTTTTGTATAAGTATATAATAAAATTTTGCAAAAAAATTATTTTTAAACATTTAAAAATATCTAAAATATTTTTTGATCAATTTAGCCATAAATTTTGTATTAAATTACTATCTACAATAACTTTATTATATAACTTGTAACTCTATTGATTAAATAACAATCAATCAATCTATAAAAGATCTATTCTATTGATTATCTGAATACTTTATTCTTATGAACTTAATCTCTAAATTTCTTGTAATTCACATAAAAATTATATTATCTGCAACTTATCTGTTATTTTTGACTTTATTTATTTGCATATAATTTAAAACTCGCATTAATTACTTATCTTTTATGCTTTATTAATTATTGACTGCTTAACATTAACATATCTGAAAAAATACTTTTATTCGGTTTATTCATACGAAGCTAATTACGATTAAATAAAGCGAAACCTGTCATGATTTAATTACAGGGATTTTTACATATGATAATACGGTTTATTATATTATCAAAGTTCCAAATAAGATTAAAATAAGTTTGTCATGAATTTAATTAGCGTACTGCTATTATAATATTATATTAATAATAAGATAAGGTGAAAGCATCTTATGTTATAATGAGGTCAGTCAGGATTATATATTTATGTTTAGTTTGTTTTTTCGAGTCTTTATTTATTGTTGATTGTTTAATATAATAGTACAAGTGATATATATCACTTGTACTATTATATTAAATATATATATAAGGTCTAACTTAGAAAACCTTTTTTCCAGACCCATCGTGGGGCAGACCCACAATGGGACCGCTGGGTGGTGAGGAATGGAGCCCAATGTATCCGATGCAAACCGTCCCGAAAAATTCCTTGGATAGTTCACTCGGATTCGATCCCGGATCCTACAGAACGTAGACTGACACTTTAACCGCCTCGGCATCCGGCCGACTACATACATATTGTATTTAGTCATTTTCATAGATCACTTGAGGTATTTAAAATATACAATACTAAATAAAAGATATATATATATATATATATTTAAATAAAATATTAGATATTTATTCAGATAATATAATTTAAACAGATAATTTAAGAGATTAATGATATTTAAATTTAATGCTAGATATTTATATAAAAATTAATTATTAAAAATATTTAAACATAATTTCATGTTTTTCAGATATTTCTAAGCTATTTTAAATCGTTAAATATTTCTCAAATAATTCATAATATTAAAGATCTTTCATTAATAATAGACAATAACATTTATAGTTTAAGGAATCGAGAATAAAAATATTCTCAATAAAAATTTAGTCTAAAATTTTATCATTATGTTTAACTCAGGTAATTTTAGATTTTGGGGGGAATATCTTTGATATTTTTAGGAATATTGGCCGTATAAAATTCTCAACTAAGATATATTCCTTAAATATATAAACTATGTTTACATAATTTAAAGATATTCCTTCATAATGTTTATAGTGATGTTTCTGCATATTTAATTTATTTAGAATATTACTAAATAGAATAGAAATGTGAAAGAAGTTACAATATTTTTAATTAATATTAAATTAAAGATATATAATCTCGAAAAAGAATTAATTATCTTGAGTTTATCTTCTAGTATCAAATCTAAATAGTTGAATCGATATGTTTCTAACTTTAAACTTCAATTATTTGTAATTAAAATAGTTTAACGTTACGGATAGCTACCTTCATGAACTAAATAAAGAATAAAACCTTTTAAAATTAATAGCTTTACTGTTTAATAACGCCATTAATTTTGAAAGGTTTTTAATTCGATAGATACATTTAATTTTATAAAATTTCGCATTACATTTAAAATAAAAAAGTTTGTTGATATTGGAGAAGTCATTTGTAAATATAATCCCTAGAAGTTAATTATATGAAAATCTTTTTTAATAAGCAAATCTGAAAAAGTTTAAGATGATGGACAATGAGTTCTTTTATAAATTAAAAGTAAAACTTGACTAAATTAAAAAGAAAAATTAAAAACTGAAAATGTTGCATTTTCCTCTTATTTACCGGTTAGATGAACAAGAACGCTATTCTCGGCTATCAAAATAGACTTAGAAACTTCGAAATTAAGCTTTTAGAGTAATCCAACTTATCAGAAGTTATACCTATCTGCTCCAATCTCACTGAAAAAATAGATAATCATCTAGCACACTCGAAAACCCAGAAAAATAAAAAGAAAAAAGCAGGAAAGCATCTCTCACAGAAACCGTTCTTTCATACAAACCAATAAAGAAACCCTCCAACTATATATGTCAAAGTTTCAATATGAAGAAATGTAGACGCAAAAAAGAGAGAACATATTTTTCATTATCCTCACTGAATACATGATGAATGGTAGTTGGCCTCAGGTAGAGAGAGACGATAACCCATATTCTAAGAGGCAAACGGAATATAGATGTATGGTGAAGTTATTGACAAAATCCGAGTCATGATCGATGAGATGTAATGAGGTTTGCAGATATACAATTCTCAATAGAGGAAGGAAGAGAAAGAAAAAAATTCTAGAAAATTAACTAAAAGTGCGAGTTTACTTTGTTATTAATTGCATTTATCAAATATAATATGTGAAGAAACCACACACTGTCAATACAACTTTATCTTTTCCTATTGTTATCTTGGTCACACTAACTACTTGCTAATGGTGATTAATTAGGCTTTCATTGTGATAGAAACCTCTCAGGGATCTTAGCTTCTCCACTAATTTATCATTTCTACTAGATATACATCTCCTCAATATTATTAAGGAAGATTTGCTTGAGGGAAATCATTCCGGTTTCTTTTTTCGTCTATCTCCTTTTTTTCTTTATCAAATAAATTAGTTTTTATCAAGTAAAGTTATAAAAGAAGCCGGGAGAAAAAATTAGTTAGATAGAATTAAAAAACTCAAAGAGTAGGAGGGTGAAAAATCTAAAAAAACACACACAAAAACAAAAGATGTCCTTGGAGAATGCCGCTTTTATTGGCAGGTGGTAAGTTTTTCAGGCCATTCCTTAATTTGCGATAACGTCTTTGATATAAAGTTAAAGTTTGTGTTTAGTTTTTGTTCTTCTTCATTGCTTTAAAAGGAAAATATGGAGAAAAATTTATATTCTATATTTTCTTCTTTTAATTGTTAGCTTTATCTTACAAAAATTGTATTACCCATATAGCGTCATCGTTTAATTCTTTAAACTGCAGTCAGCTTTTCAAATTAGACGATAAATATGTATAATAACTTATTTTCTGGATTATTCAAAAGAATAAATAAACTTTATACAATTATATATTTAAGTAATGAATATATAACAAATCTTAACCCCTTCGCTATCATTCCTTTGCGTGTGCACTTGAAGCTTTCTTGCATCCTTTTAAAGTAACACCATTACGCTCGATGCATTCACTAATTTAAAAGAAAAAAAAAATGTTTAAATATTTTTAACTTAATAACATAACTTTAAACAAATATCTATAATTTTTTCAGTAAAAGGTTATTTTTTTCCTAGTATTTTAACTGATTACGAAATAACTTGATTTCATTTCGTTACTTCGCAGTTGCACATATTTTTAAATATTCTTCATTTTTTTTTTAATGGTGAAGATGCAAAAAAAAAATACTTTTTCTAAGGAGTAGCGTGTAGAAAAAATCGCCATTAGTTTCGAATTTTGATTAAAAAATAAATTAAAAAATCGAATTATGGCCAGTAATTAAGTTAATAGGGTTGAAGACGCGATGTGGCAACGTGTATCCTTTAAACGATTGAAATTTTATTTTAAAACAGTCAGTAAATACGAAAAAAATATCTCTAAATGCTCTGATTATTGTAAAAAAAAATTGCTATTAACAAATATATTTTTATAATGAGTGCTATTTAAGTATTCTTACTTTCTTGAAATGAACATTTCGATAAATAGATGACCACAGGGAGATAAACAAGATATTCTCTAATTTAATTTTTATACAGAAAAATTAAGTTGTTAAACTAATTCGCTACCTTTATTACGAGATTTGTATCGGATTTTCTAGTTCGTGACGCTTCAGTGACGGTAGATCGAGTGTTTTTAGTGAAGAATGGCGTGTCTGTGGCTGAAATGAATAGGGTAGAGTTGATGATAAAGAGAATGGATGGATAGCAGAAGCACTTTAGGATGCACTCAATATATAAGTAAATAAAAGATAGCTAAGAATTTCTTTCGGAATAGCAGAATAGATAATTGTATAACAAATGGGGAATGTGTCTTCTTTTAAAGATGGCATACAGCGTGGTACTAACTTTCAGAGATAGCCTACGGATACATAGTTGCATACAGAAATAATGCATAAATCATTACTGATTGTATTACTGATGATGTCATATAAGAGAATGACAATTTATGTGCATAGAAAAAGAATATATAAATTCTTTTAGTTGATAGTTACTTGAAGAGGGACTTAGAAACTATTACAGACTTTATAATATCTATGAAAAATGTAATACGCTTTTAATATTTAAACTTGGCGTGGTTAATCATTTTTATTTATAGAACTGTTTACTTTAGCTATTAGCTAAAACGAGTCACGAGTAGTAATTTTATAATGAAAGGGGTAGGTAGAATCTAGAAATGATTGATGGCATACTTCACCGAGCAAGTTGAATACTTCGTGTATAGATGATAGAGGAGGTATGTTCTGTAGCTTTAAACTTGACAGAAGATTTGGAAAAAATCATTGTATAGAGTTAACGAAGTAAAGAGAGAGAGAAGAAAATATTTTTATAGAGAAAAAATCATATATTAGTCTTAAATTTATTTTAAAAAGAAAAAAAAATGAGATGTTAAAAATGACAAGAGGTACAGTACATCAAAAATTATGGCAAGCAACTGTAATAAGAATGACGTAAACAGTTGAGTGAAGGATTTGAGAAAGAAGACTTTGTTTGTGTAAGTCACAAAGAGGGCTTTATAATACAGTATATTTTTAGAGAAAAATGTTGGATAAAATGCGCTGCATGTATAAAGGGAAAAAGCTTCTATATGAAAATAAGCGGCGTTACTAAAAGTATAATATATAAACTTATATAAAAAATTCACATAAAAAAGTTCGAAATCGTATAGATTATAAAAAGGTACGTTTGCCAATAATAAATTTAGTCCGGTTATATCACATCCCTTTAATTTCCCAGTGATGGCTCCTGGAAAACTTACAAAGTAGATAAAAATAAAGAAAAGGGGAGGGAAAAAATAAATTCGTGACAGCTACCATAATATTTCTTCCGTAACTTTAATGGTCAGATATTCAATACTAGAGCAAGTTTGGGTAATAAAAGTATAAACGACTTTCCGTCAAGATTCAATACGTTACACCTAGGACTATAAATAATTGGTTAGGTATGCAATAAAGTCAACGTTGAGGTCAACAATTTCGATTTTTCTACCACTAATACCATCGAAATAACTACTTAAAATGAACAGAAAATTGACGTGATCAAATTTTTTTTTCTCTTTTTTTTAAGTTTTTTTTCAGAAGTGGATAGCGGGAACACTATCTAAACATTTGGTAGTTTCTACTGAATAAGTACTTACATAAAATTTAATAGAACTCCTATATCATTTGAGTTGACAGGTTGATGCATGTTTTTCGAGCTTCTATAACTATTTTATTTTAATATATATATATAAATATTGTGATTTTTTTTAAAGATTATAATGTTATATATCTTAACTAATTTTCATCGTTTTTAACTATAGCTTTTCCTAATTTTATATATAAATAAAAATAATATCAAAGTACTACAGCGGTATTATATCATTTATTTCGCAACAGTTAGATTTTTACTACATTTTACATTTTATATTGCTCCTAAATAATTAATTTCTTAAAATATGAAAGAATTCATATTTTATTATATACAGTTTATGATATAAAGTAAATATATACACTTATATATGTAGATATCTATTTATTTATATTTATCAATGTAAATATAA